CCCCGCCATTTGTTCCTCGACTTCTTCCTGGCGGCGGAGGCCCTGCAGCCCTCCTTCGAGCGACTGATTGCTGACATAATCCAAGAAGAAGACGGCGCCCGTCCATGCATCATCATCGCCGGCTACTTCTTGGCGTGGACCGTCGGAATCGCCCAGAAGCTCCATATGGCACTCGATCGCAACTGAGGAAGAGTGGGAGGAGACGGCGACCAATGTGTCCACCGAACCTCCGCCGATGCTCGCGATGCCCGCACCCAATTCCCCTTTGAAGGAGAATGACAACGGGAAACTCGTTGTTGTTGTGGCTCCTAGAAGCAAGAAGGATTTGGCTGAGGTTGTCAAGGAGCTTGATGATTATTTTCTAAAAGCTGCTGAAGTTTGGAGAGGAGAGAGGAGTTGGACATATGTGATTGAGGGGGTTTTGGGAGAACTGCACGGGAATGCTAGTCCCGTGCGGTAGAAAAGGTCGATTTTGCTAAAAAGAAATTGAGCAGTACTAGAGGAGGTCGATTTTGCTAAAAAAAATTTTGAACGGTCGATTTTACTTATTAAATTTAAAAAATGGTTGTTTTTAAAAATTTGTCCTTATCCTTTTGTTCCTGTCCTGATATGTGGCATTCTGTTGAAGTCACTTGGGTGAAAACTAACGAGGTATTCTAACTTTATGAGATCACATCTCATTTGGGACCTAAACTTACACTCTAAGAGGAGTATGTCTTGACACTTTGTTGGCTTGAACTTCACAAGACTATACTGCATATTTTCCAATCAATATTTGTAAATCCATCTCCATTTTCCCCTTCCTAATATAGCTCAAAACTTACATTCCCTAAATAACTCTCCATTATGTTCCAATGAATGTTCTCCTAAGGCAAAATTAACAACTTTCTTGCATTCTTCACTAGCAAACTGAGTTGATTTCTAAGGGTCCATTTAGTCTCGTTGATTAAACGGGTAGCCAATTGTGGAGTTTATAAGAGATTTAGGTCCCTTTTCTCTCCCTCAAATAAGTAGATTTAAGGCGTGAGTTCTCCTTGATCTCTAGACCAATCTACAAAAGCAAAATTTACAACTTTCGTGCATTTTCACTAGCGACACGAGCTTGTTGGATCAAAGAAAATAACATGAGCTAACAAAATCGCAAATTTCCAATAAGATTACCTCGCAAACGCAACATTGAGAAGCTCGTAACGTACCGAAACGCAAACCTACACGATCAAACCCCCTCCCCATCTCTCCTCGCGCCTCGACGATAATAGCTGCCTCCACTCCCACCATTTCCATAACCGAAACCCCTCCCTCCTCCATTGAAACTACTCCGGCGACTGAAATCGTAGTCTCTGCGCTTCCGATCGTCGATCAATACCTCGTAGGCCTCCGACGCCTGCTTGAACCTAATGGAAGCGCCGTCTTTGATCTCCTTTGTGGAGTTTGAGTGGCGATCGGGGTGGAATTTTAGGGCGCATTTTCTGAAAGCTTCTTTGATCTCGTGTTTGGTTGCGCCGGAGTTCAATCCTAGGGTTTTGTAGTGATCCATTGATCCATGAGATTGAGGGGAGAGAGGGTTTTGGGGGGCAAATTGCAAATTGACGGTTAGGGTTTGAGGAAGGAGAACACGCGGTTTATTCTTTGCCGCGAGTTTTGGGAATTAGAGGCGAGTTCTTTTGTTTGTTTGTTTTCATTTTCATTTTCTTTTTTTTTTTAATTCAGAAATCCCCCTTAATTAGCTAGTAGAACTTTTTTTTTAATTGCTCTCTCAATTTGTAATAATTCATCAATGAACCTCTCATGATATATTATTTATGTATTTGCATATGGTTTATTGACGGTGCTAATCCCTAATTTCTTAATGTTAATAATGGAGGTGGAGTCAAAAATTTACAATCATGGTGCTACAATATATATACATATAAAACATATTATTAATTTTTCTCGCGCATTTAATATAACTAGTTGAGATGCACGTGCAATGCACGTGGTTGAATATCATGATTATTTAAATTAATAAAAATAGAGTAAAAATAAAAAAACAATGTTTTTTTATGTTGATCATCAACTCAATAAGCTCTCTCTCGAATAAAATATTGCCATTGTTTCCTTTCAACCCAGACTGTGACCACGTGATCTACTATTTGTGAGTTATAAACGCATTAATATAGTACGACATCTCTATTTATTAGTATCTTGAAGTCTTCAAAAGATGAGTGATCATTCAATTCGTAAAAAAAAAATTTACATATGAATTTACTTGCAATATGTCCATTAAACTTTTAGTCGTGGTTTGACTCATATTCACTTTAACTTTTAGTTGATGTTTCACTCATATTTATATTATCGAAAATAATATTCTCATTCAATTTTATAGCTCATTCTCTGTATCATAGAAGTAAAACTGAAAGTGTGAAGAATTATTTTCTTACGAAATTAGAACAAAGATATTATGATATTTTCGCCATATGCTCTAAATATTTAAAAAATCTTTGATGCAAGGTCCTTATCAAATCTTACCCCAAATTGTGTGAATAAAAAATGCTATTACAACTCACTTGCCTAGGGTAATTGTATTGTATATAGGATACATAACTCATCTGGAATATCCATATCTCCTACGTAGATTTTGTTGTTTGTGAGAGCAACATGTTAGAGGCTCATATTTAAACTTTTTAGCTCTATAAAAGACACAAGAATTTGGAGTGCATAGCTTATATATCATAAAGAACATATCGATTCATGAAGAATTTTTTCTAATAATGATATTATTACAACGATATTACTATTTAATATTAAATTAATTTTATTATATAAAATTATATGACCCTTTTTAATAAATTATAAAGTATATATATGGAAATCTCTGTTGGCCTTCTTGTTTTGATGATGTTTAACAAACAATTTACCACTAATGTTGTTTGTCTAGTATTTGTGTTTTCGTATTTATTGTAGACAAACAACGTAGTTGGAGGATGGATGGATTGCGCTTCAACGATCATATCCAAAGGAGGTTGGCGGAATGTCGGTGAAGCCTTGCTATTCAAAGTTCAAGATCCAAGTTCAAGCTTCATCCGAGAGATTACCTAGAAGAGCTTAATGAAGATCAAGATCTAGCTTGGGTAATTTAGTTTAGGAATTTATATTATGTGTGTTAGTACTTTAAGCTCAATCATATACACACATACACGTTTTGGTTTTTGTATATATATAGTTATATATATACATATATATTTTGGTTTGATAGTTTTCAAGTTTTACTATGAAACAATTGAATATAATTAGAAAACATATTTTTGTTTCATACTCATATGCATATATATGATTTCATCAATATCAATTTTAGTTAGTTAAATGAAATCATGTTTTAGTGCATTATATGTGTATTTTGATAAAATACTACATTCATTGTTTATAGACTTCATAACAATAGTTTACATCTTTCTTCAAGTCTATAAAATCATTTTGTAAAGTTTCAAAAGTTGGTTTAGCCAAAATGTCAAAATTCACATGTTTACATTTTCGTGTTTTGGACTATTTTGCAAAATGATGATATTTTTCATTTGGGAAGTCCTTTTTCAAAACCAGTCGTTGTAGCATGTTTATTATCATGTCTACAATCATTCCCCAAAGTTTTACATTTTTTGGAATTTATTTGATATTTTTAAACAGCATTTTAAAACCAGCAAAACAGGTTTCAGTTTCTGTCATATCTGTTTTCGGTCGACCGTACCGGTCGACCGAACCTGAGTTCTTTGTTTGTGATTGCATTGGCGTACTTACTTTTATGTTCATATCTTATATCGCCTTTGTATATTGCTTGTTGATTATATTGCCCACTATCTAGTTTAGATTGTTTACCCTTGAGTTTATATATCCTTGCTCATATACTCATATATATTTCATCATATAGGATATATCACTTTGTGTATATTGCATATTCTTGCCCATAATAGATTGTATACCTATCTTGCAAGAATATAGTTGTTAATTATTTTTAATTGGCATTTAATCGGATTAGATTAGCATAAGACCCTAATCACCCCCCCTCTAGGGTCTAACAATTGGTATCAGAGCTTGGTGCTCTTTGATTTAAGGTCTAATCGCCTTGAGTTAAAGATCCAAGTTAGCTTATTGTGCTAATCTAATTTTGAGCTTTTATTTGTATCTTGCTTGCCTTTTATATTATGGATATGCATGGTTTAGGTTATGCCATTAATATTGCTCCTAGGTTTGATAATTTCCCTTATGCCCAATGGTGTGTTAGATTTAAACTTTTTGTTCAATCTAAACACTTTGATTTATGGGAAATTATAGATGATGCCTATATTGTGCCCACTATGGAGAAATCCAAGTGGAATAAAAATGATCATCGTATGTTTACTATGAACAACATTTTGTTAGAATATTTGCTAAATGCTTTTAACTCATCTATGTCTAACAAGTTTGTTCATGTTGATAGTGCTTACACCTTATGGAAATTAATTAAAGCACATCAAGGGGACTTGGAGGCGATCTAACAAGTTTTGGCGGATCCGGCTTCAAGTTCATGTGGAGCGTCATGCACACGTGCACTAGGCGATAGCCCTAGTGAGGTTTGCGAGTTCGAAACCATAAATGATTTACCTAATGATGAACTTGCTTGTGCATATGATAGGTTAATGCATGCCTACACTAAGTTGCATAATAATTTCATTGATCTTAAAAGCAAGCATGTTAATTTAAAATCCGATCATGAATTGCTAGCATCAAAATTTGATACTATTGCTAAAGATAATGTGATCCTTAAAGAAAATAATGAAAAATTAAAATTGGATCATATTACCTTGAGTTCCAATGTTGCTAGCTTAATTCATGAGAAGAATGATGCCATGTTAGAAGTAGAGTCTATTAGAAGTAAATTTACATCATTTAAAAATGATCATATTTGCTCTACTTCTATTGACAATGCTTCTATGCCTAATGATGAGTTGAACAATATTAAAAATCGCATTTCATCTTTAGATTCAACTCTTAACACATGCATTGTTAATAACAAGAAACTTATGGACTTATGTGCAAAGTCTCGTGCTAACTCTTCAAAACCAAGCACTCACTATGCACATATGTATAGCAAAGTTTACAAATGCTCAATTTGCGGTCGTAAAGGCCACATTGCTAAATTTTGCTATGATGCACACAAATCTTCTAAGATTAATGCTTATTGTGCATCTCATAAGGCTTCTTCATCACACACACAAGCACATGCATCTATTTCTCATCATAAGCATGTTAATGTGTATAAATGTGATCTATGTGGTCGGGTTGGCCATTTGGCAAAGTTTTGCTTTGACATGAAAAAGAATTCTAGTTTGCCAAATGTTTTTCATAGACCACATGTGTTTAAATGTGATGTTTGTGGTAGATATGGCCACTTAGGAAAGTTTTGTTTTGATAAGGTTTTGCATTTGTAAAATAATTTTAAAAGACCATCTGTAACGTCCCGCCCCAGAATCCCGGAGTCGGTACGCTATTAGATCTGATGGACTGGCCTCACAAACCACAACATGTCTTTTCAGCACGTTTTGTCCTCACTCATGCGCTCTCTGGAAAACTTCCCAGAGGGTCACCCATCCTAGAATTTCTCCAGGCCAAACACGCTTAACTTTGGAGTTTCTAAGAGTTGGGTTCCCGAAAAGAAGATGCATCTTGGTGGTATGAGTATTCCAATCAAATCTATCAATACTAATCACATCACCCTCTCAAGGGTTGGGGTATTACATACTCCCCCACTTGAACTCACAACGTCCTCGTTGTGCCAAATCATATCATCCAAGACCGTACCATCCGTGTGAGATTCTAGAGGTGGCTCCTACGGCCTCAAGAGGTGGCTCCCGTCCTCTCGACGTAGCACTTTGCGCCGCATAGCACTTAGCTCTCACAATTCCGGTTGGCTTGGCTCTGATACCATTTGTAACACCCTGCCCTGGAATCCCGGAGTCAGTACGTTATTAGATCTGATGGACTGGCCTCACAAACCACCACATGTCTTTTCAGCACGTTTTGTCCTCACTCACGTGCTCCCTGGAAAACTTCCCAGGGGGTCACCCATCCTAGAATTTCTCCAGGCCAAGCACGCTTAACTTTGGAGTTTCTAAGAATCGAGTTTCCGAAAAGAAGATGCATCTTGATGGTATGAGTATTCCAATCAAATCTATCAATACTAATCATATCACCCTCTCAAGGGTTGGGGTATTACATACCCCCCCACTTAGACTCGCAACGTCCTCGTTGCGCCAAATCATATCATCCAAGATCGTACCATCCGTGTGAGATTCTAGAGGTGGCTCCTACGGCCTCAAGAGGTGGCTCCCGCCCTCTTGACGTAGCACTTTGTGCCGCATAGCACTTAGCTCTCACAATTCCGGTTGGCTTGGCTCTGATACCATTTGTAACGCCCCGCCTCAGAATCCCGGAGTCGGTACGCTATTAGATCTGATAAACTGGCCTCACAAACCACCACATGTCTTTTCAGCACGTTTTGTCCTCACTCATGCGCTCTCTGGAAAA